AATGAAAATTTTTATAAAGGACTTTCTGCAATAGAGTGAAAAAAAAAAAAGTAGGAATTGACTTTTATTTATTATTATTTTTTAATATTACTTGTTTGTTTAGCAGTTGTAGTAGGTTATGGCACTCGGCCACCTCTAGTTCTTCTTGGATGATCATATGGCCTGCATTGCCGAGATTGAGTCCAAGAGAAACATCACTTTTAGGTACCAGGAAGGCTGATCGCCATACAAATTGCTAGCGAATTTGCCAACAACTATTGAGCCTTGCGCAATTGATGAAAAAAAAAACCCAGCTCTCAGCGCTTCCAATTTGTGTGAATTGTTCCGTGTATACGTGGATCCGTTCCTCTGATGGATACCTATTAGGCATCATAGCTAAGGTTTCGTATTTTAACTGGGAAACCAACAGATAGTTTGGCAGCAGACACGGAATATTTACACAGGCTCAGGGCCGGATTTTCCTATAGGCTAATTAGATTTCAGCCTATGGCCTCAAGATCAAGAGGGCCTATGGCCTCAAGATTCAAATTGTTAGCAAAACTAGAATTACACTATTCTAAAAACTGTAAACACTGAATCGAAAATAAGGAGAAATTCTACCCATATGAATAATATACATAATAAGTGATTTACAAACTTAAAAATGGGAGGTGAAAGGGCCTCATAAGTGAAATAGCCTAGGGCTTCTTTTCCTCTAAATCCAGTCCTGTACAGGCTGTCATAACATTCATCGAATTTTACCGTTTCTGAAAGCAACGACTGTACACGGAAATTGTCATAGACTTCACACTTGTTTTTCGCTGAACATGTTAATTGTACTCGGTACTATTTCCCATACAAGTCAGGCTGTCATTAGAACTACTGAATCGCTTTAACATTAGAACTGCGCAATCGCCTACCTTTCAGATAGGCCGCTGATAACATTGAATTAAATTGTTTGTGTGTGAAAATAGGACTTTTTTTGTATATGTCAGCCTTGTGTTCTGGTTCAGATCACGAACAAGACACTGACGGTGATGAGATTAGAACCTAGTTTTTAGGAATAATTGCCCCACACCCATTTACTTGTTCTTATAGATGGAAATCAATCCAATAGGTAGCTTGGCAGCAGATGAGGAATATTTACTCACGCTGTCATAACATTCAATGAATTTTCTCGTTTCTGAAAGCAGCGACTATACACCGGATAGGCTTCAAACTTGTTTTTCTCTGATCATATTAACTGTATTCACTATTATTCCCATACGAGTCAGGCTATCAAAGAATTTGATTAAACACATCCAACGAGATTGGTTTACGGTCATTTTCTGCACACTTTAGGCTAAACAGACCGGGACTTTTACAGTTTAAAGTGGATTCCGAACGACTACAAGCCTCCATGGCAACGTCGGGACTCAGAAACCGAATCCTGTGATACCGAGCACCAGAGCTCTGGCCACTCCGGGCACCTCGGGGTCGGGAACACCTTAATTTCTAAAATCATTTACAATTAAAGTGATGAATAAAATACATTTAATGTCATCATGCGTTCGTTAATCATTGCAAGTATTTTTATCTGAAACTTTGAGAAGGATTTATACACACACATTTCAAAACTGTTTATTTAAAAAATTTTGTACAAAAATAATTGAGATAAATGAAGATTATATTTTATTATCAGCAATTGAGAAAAAGAAAGATTATAGTTATTATCAGCAATGGAGAACAATAGAATTATGTAGGGAATCTAATACAATGTTTTTTAAATTTGGCAGCTCCAGCTGAGATATTTTGTTGTTTGTTATTCTCTTCCCCATCCTCATTTTCATTAAATAATACTACGTTGCTTTTCAAGGAGTCTTGAAGTATCGTTATCTCGCTCATCTTGTAGAAGGAAACGCAAGTAGATGTAAAAACTGAAGGCTAAAATGAAGCTCAGCGAATATGCTGCTGTAGTGAAAACGAAGTAACTAGATGGAGGCCAGGAATAGTGCATCCAAGAATCCACCATAAACAAAATACCCGTATAAATCAAACAAATGATGCACCCTACAATGGGTGTTTCGATTCTGTACAAATTCATTTCCTTTGATAGATCTGCAACAAACAATACATATTATTTCTAAAACATATGATATTCATTGGAAATATAAAGAATCAATATTAAGCCATTTCTTAAATTTACGAAAGATTGGTATTGATGGCTCCTTCTTAGCTCAATTTGAGTTTAATTTTCTTTATGCACGCTAATTCAGAAGTCACTAAGCGTTTATCATAGAACTTATAGAACTCTTCAATAATTTCACCTTAAAACGACTTTCCCTTCTTAGTTAAAAGCAAAATGATTAAAATTTCTTCATGCATGCTAATTCAGAAGTGACAAATCTTTTACCATAGAACCCCATCTCTTAAATTATTTGAACTTACTACTGTGCTTAAAAAATAAGACTAATTATTATTTTTCAAAAACTCTTTATTTATTCTTCCAAATTTATTTCATCGCCTTCAAAGTAATCCCCTACGAACACAATGCACTTTTGCCAACTTTTTTTTTTTTTTCCAATCCTCAATGCATGCTAAAAAAGTCATCGGCAGGGATGGCCTTCAAAGCACGCGGCGATTCGCGTTGAATCTCTTCAATCGACTCAAAACGGTGTCCCCGGTGGTCTTTTGAGTTTAGGAAATAGCCAGAAGTTTCACGGTGGGAATACGGTGGTTTGTGGAACGATATGCGCTTCTTTATTGGCGAAAAAGTCACGAAGAATCAATGCAGTGTGAGCTGGCGCATTCAGTGTTTTCGGTACCAATCGAGATTTGACGCGTTTGAGGCCCAAAAATGGAATTGATCCTTTTGAAATTTCAACAACCTCAGCAACGTCTCTAATATAATGCTCACCGAATGCCTTCTGCAACATTTTATGCGTTTCCACAAACAAAATTGAATGCAAGTTCTTTTCTCAATTAATTCAGCCATTTCAAAAATCACCAGAATCAGTTTTAGCGTCTCACAAAGCCAAGCGTAATTCAAACACTAATGAATATTTTGACGTCAAATTTCACACAAATGCAAGCCCAGTGCCAGCAACTTAAAAAAGAAAAGAAAAAAATTGAAATTCCATAAGCCCCGGGAATTTATAAATTGAAAATTGGTCTTAGTTCTTGGACACTGTAGTAAAACGGCTTTCAAGCTTCTTGGTTCAAAGTAAAAGCATTAAATTTCTTCATGCATGCTAATTCAGGATTCACAAATCTTTTACCCTAGAATCATTCTCTTCAATAATTTGACCTTAAAACGGTAAACAATACATATTATTTCTAAAAACATATGATATTCATTGAAAATATAAAGAATCAATATTAAGCCATTTCTTAAATTTATGAAACATTCGTATTGCCCTTTTTCTTAGTTCAATTTGAGTTTAATTTTCTTTATGTACGCTAATTCGAAGTCACTAATCGTTTACCTTAGAAATATTCTCTTCAATAATTTGACCTTAAAACGGCTTTCCCTTCTTAGTTCAAAGCAAAATGCTTAAATTTCCTTTAAGCACGCTAATTTCGGATTCACTAATCTTTTACCCTAGAAACCTTCTCTTCAATAATTTGACCTTAAACGGCTTTACCTTTTACTTTTACATAATTATTACGGGAAAAGCAAAAGATGCTTTCATAAATTTTTTAATTTGTTTATTTTACAGTTAAATCATTTAGTTTTCAGTGTAATAATGCAAGAATATTCCATCACTTTTGAGCAATGTCTTTTATGAGAAATGAATGAAACAAATTTTTCCATTAAATATTGTATGAATAAAAAGTAATAAAAGAAAATATTAAGTAAAACATGGTTTTTTTTTTTGTCATTCGTTTCCATCGCATAAAAATAAACTATAAATTTTATACTAGTATAGTTTAAATATAGATTAATATATTAGATTAATGCCAAGAATATGCTTGTATTATGATTTTCTTAACTACTCAAATAAATAATGTGAAATATAAAATTTCAGTTAGATAACAGAATAAAAAAATAATACTGTAATGTCTTGGCTATACTAGACCTATAACGGCTTCAAGAAGAGGGTCACTTTCAGGTTCATGGGAACACTTTTAATTTTTTATTTACCAGCGCTATATATATATATACAAATACAGAACTGTAGATTATTATGATTTATTACTTACAAAAATGAGAAATTTAAGATTTAAATTTGATTCACAAATGTATGATTAAATCACAAGTACAGTTCACTCCAAGATCAGAGATTTTAAGACTTCTCTAGTCTACGTCGAAACTAATTGCCTGGTCTGCTGCAGATCTTTTGAAATCTGAACTTTTCTCACTTCAGAAAAAAAAAAAAAAAAAAAACAACACTTCTTGTCGAATCTTCGCAGAACTCGCTCTTCACTAAAAACCACCCTTTAAGAAAATTCGTCAAGGGGGTTAGCATCCCTCACTTTTAATGGAAGTAGACATTTTTTGCTCGTAGCCTATCCCCCATCATCACGATGGAACAACTCATGGTGTAGTCCGTACTCTAATTATTTTGACCTGAAGGTCGCACGGACATTCTCTAATTTCCTGAGTCTCAAGATGCATGATATCGAATATCTTATCAGATTTGAGTGACAGGTTGTTCTCATTAGCACTTGTTATTATATGTTGTTGTTTCTTATCCCACTTGGCTGGCCAAGCCCACGAGCCCATACGTACTCATGATTGAAGGGGAAGGAAGCAGCTTCTGTTGTGATGGAGCACCCGTAGGTAGAAGTCTGACTTTGGCTCCGTGACGCTCTTACAGTCATAGGAGACCGGGACCTACGGCAAGGAAGTGGATTCCGAACCACTACAAACATCCATGGGCATTGCCGGGATTCGAACCCGAAACCTGTGGCACCGAGCGCCAGAGCGCTAGACACTCGGCCATTCAGGTCCCAAATTTGTGAATGCCAATGGCAGCGCGGTGTTCCCGGGTGGTCATGGCACTACTGGGATCGAACCCGAAACCTGTGGCACCGAGCGCCACAGCGAAGTACTGACCGCGCCCAATAATGCTTGACTTCGGTGATCTAACGAGAACCGGTATATTCAGCATGTTATGGCCGTTGGCATAAATTATATACTTGTCAAATAACATTCTTCTTTTCTCTTCTCCTTCTTTCTTTCTTCTCTTCTTCTTTCTCTTCTTTCTTTTCTCCTGGGAATGAAATCCCAAAACTCTTCCCGTCAGAAAAAAATGTAACAATGGAAATAAGATTTTTATAGTTTATATGTAAAATTACAAATGTTGTCAATGTATTTCTATCAACGCTTGATCCTATAGTGACTTCTAACAATATTATATCAATCTAATTTAGTAACCCTTAAACTAATCTTCTGAAAAATTTGACATTGCAACTTTAACTTATAGAAATAATGTGCTTCTCATAAGAGTAAAAGGCAACAAAAAGACTTAGAAGCAACTAACAATTTTTGAAATCAATAATTCCATTTTTATTTTTTTTTTTCTCATATGATAGAAAAATATTAAAAAGTAAATCTTGAATGTAAAATTTTCCCATTTAAGAGGATCGAAATTGAGTATCGTATTAAAAAAAATTCTGAAAAATATAACCGAGTAGTTCGATAGTAACTTATGCTGTGATTGAATGTTAATGATCACCCTAACACAATAAAGCTGTAAATTAGCTCGGAACTAGCTGAAATAGATCTTTCAATCAAACTTCTTGTTAGCTGAAGATTTTGTGCACTGTAGTACACTTCACAGAACTTTAAAAGACCTTTATCATATTGAATTTTGAGCTTGAATCTTTATTATCTAAAATCTTTTTCTGAAGAAAATTGATTTTACTTTATTAAAGATAAAAATCCATTACGAAGAAATAAATCCATTTAAGAATTATATATTTTATAATGAAACGTTCGTACAATACCGATATTCACAATTATAATTTAATACAATTTTACGTGATTAAATCATTTGGATAGGACAGGATACATAAATATTATTTAATGTGTATGGGCAAAAATAATTTCCAGTAAGGTAAATAAACAATAAAACTTTTTATATTCTACATACAGGATGTTTGAGTTATTGGGCACATTAAAGAATTATGTAAAAAAAAAAAAAAAACAGATAAGACAGAAACGAAAGATATTTACCCACTTTGTATCACAAATTCAAAATTGATGCCATTTTTTTTCTCTTATCAAATACCACTAATTTTCAGGAATTGCACCAGTCTCACTTTACCCTATAAATGCTAGTTAAATTTGCCTAGCGAGAATCAAACTTTCTGGCACTCGGTGCCACAGGTTTCGGGTTCGAGTTCGTCGGTGTCATGGATGTTTGTAATGGTTTGAATTCACTTTAAACAGTAGATCCCTCTTTAATATGGCTACTACTACTACATCACATCACAGTGTGTCTAGAGCTGAATTGTCCCTTTACAGTTTGGGGAATGATGTGGGTGAGAATCTGATTGGGCTCTGTGACGCTCTACAGTCATACGAGACCGGGGACCTACGGATTAAAATGGATTCCGAATCACTACAAACAGCCATGGCGTTACCCGACTCGAAATCGAAATCTGTTTCACCGACAGCCATTCCGGCCCCGGTCTAATATGACAGTAAAGCATAGAACATAGTGCTGACGACCCCCTGTAAAAAAAGAAACCATAACCTCTCTCGAAATCTGCCAGTAGGCAGACGGCCTTGGACCACCATGGGCTGTAATGCCAAGAAGTTGGGAGTTAGTTATAATCAAACTTTAAACAAATGGGAGAAAATTTCAAAAATTTGACGTTAGAACTTTTATTTCCTCGTATTAAATGCGACTAATTGGAAGAATTTGAAGCATTTTTAAGAGATTACTCTAAGCATTATAAGATATTTACCAAAATATATAGTGTGAAAACTAGTAAACATGAATTCAAAATTTCATAAATATTGATGCGATTTTTTCTCTTATCAAATAAAACTAATTTTTCAGGATTTGTACCAGCTTCAATTTTTGCCCTATACGCACCAATTAAATTTACCCTAGCGAGAATCAAACTTTCTAGGACTCTGGTACTCTGTGCCACAAGTTTCGGATCCGAGTCCTGGAAGTGCCAGGGATGTTTGTAATGATTAAATCAACTTTAAACCGCAGGTATCCGTCTAATATGATTGTTAAGCGTAGGGCTGGCAACTCTATCCTGTAAAAAAGAAACCATCTCCTGTCTCGAAATCTGCCGGCAGGCAGATGGCCTCGACCCACCATGGTTTGTAGTGCCAGGGAGTTGGGAGTTAGATTAAAAACCAAACTTTAAACAAACAAGAGAAAATTTCAAAATTTGATGCTAGAAAATTTTGCTAAAGTATTAAATGCGACGAAATTGCATGATTTGGAGGAACTTCAAGTTACTCTAAGCATTTAAGATATTTATAGTACGAAAACAAGTAACATGAATTCAAAATTTCATAAATATTGAAGCGATTTTTCTCTTTATCAAATATCACTAATTTGCAAGATTTGTACAAGCTTTAATTTTTAATATATACCAGCTAAATTTAACCCCAGCGAGAATCAAACTTTTAGTGCTCTGGCACTCGGTACCCAGGTTTCAAGGTTCGAGTTCCGGTGGTTCCATGGATGTTAACAGTGGTTCCGAATCCACTTTTAAACTGTAGGGTCCTGTTCAAATATGATTGTAGAGCGTTCAGTATTGGTCTGACAGTCCCTACCATGTAAAAAAGAAACCATCTTCTATCTCCGAAATTTGCCAGTAGGTAGCCTTGATAGACGGCTTTGACCCACCATGGGTTGTAGTACCAGAGAGTTAGTTAAAACTAAATTTAAAAACAAACGAGAAAAAATTTTCAAAATTTGATGCAAGAAACTTTTGCTTGCTCGTATTAAATGCGTCTTATTTTAAACTTTGAAGCAACTTCAAGTTACCCCCAAATGCATAAGATGGATACCAATATATATATATAGATATAGTGTGAAAAACAAGTACTGCTTGTACCTACTGGGAACAATAGATTATCATTGATGTTTATTAGCTATAGTAAAAAACATTTTTGTTATTTTTTTCCATAATTTGTCAATGTATTTGAATTCTGCAATGCTCATATTTCTGGTTTCTAACATGAATTCAAAATTTCCACAAGAGATGGTATCATGGTATCCTGGTGAATTTAATCATGGTATCCTGAACATGCATGTTGCAACCTTTCATAAAACGCGGGGTTCAGATATTAAATATCTAAACATGAAAATATATTTGAAAGTTCTTGTTGAAAAGTAACTAAATACATTTGTAAAATTCCGTTTAAAATACAAGAAGTTACATAAAATATTCATGTATAATTGAACCTATGTAAACAGTTATTCATCAAAATGTTGGTTGCTTTTACTTAAGTAAGGAAAAGACAAACGTAATAATTCTAAAAAATTTTCCTTTTAAAGAAGTTGCTTGTGTACTATCAAATTTAACTATTTTACAAAAATAATATAAATAATTTTACTTACCAAATTACGTCAAGTTTTAAAAAGATTCCTTTTTAAAATATTTTATAGTAAAAATTGTCATTCGCTGTCAGAATTCGTTACAAATACTTAATATTTCGATTGTAAGTTTCAATATTTTTTTCGCTTTACGTATTACGGTTACGACTCTCAAAGATTTGATAGTTCATTTTGGTATACATTTTGAGTTAAGACATTTATTTTGAAATCTATCAACCAAATCTAATTCAATGTATTGTTAAGAAATTTTTGCGGTTATTAATTGATCTATTCCCTTTTTTTTTTTCAATCTGTGTGCCAATCTCAAGTAACCACCAGTTTTTCAATTTAATTTTTTTTTTTGCTATCTAAAGGTGGTTGGTTGTTCACTCATCATAAAGATTATAATAAGCGGATTGCTTGCAAATCATTCCCTTAAGCTTGAATCTTCATTTTGTATTAATTATCTGTTAATTATAATGGAACCAAAGAGAGTGAATAGTTTATATGGTTTCCAAAGTTGTTTCGGACTAATCCTCAATGTCCTGCAGTGCGGGACGGACAACCCATGAGTGATCTACGCATGGATGGAGGGGAAAGGGACAGCTTCTGTTGTGATGAAGCACCCGTAGGTAGAAATCTGACTTTTGTTCCGTGACGCTCTTTACAGTCATATGAGACCGGGAACTACGGCTTAAAGTGGATTCCGAACCACTACAAACATCCATGGCACCACCAGGACTCGAACCCGAAACTGTGATACCGAGTGCTAGCCATTCAACCCTTCAGGCCCGGTTTCCAAAGTGATAGGTTCAGTTTGAAACCTGGTAGTAACGCCGTCTTTGTTGGTATATGTTTGAAATTGCGGTGACAAACTGTAGATGAAGCTTTATTATCATATTCTTTTTTTTTTTGTTCAACGTTTTTAAAGAATTTTCTAAATATTTGTTATCATATTCTTTTTTGTTCAACGTGATTTTAAAGAATCTTCTAAATATTGGTTATCCTATTCTTTTCTTTTTCAAACGAGATTCTAATGAATTTTCTAAATATTTGTTTTCATATTCTTTTTTTTGTTCAATGTGATTCTAACGCATTTTCTAAATATTTTTTTTTTTTTTTTTTTTTATCATATTCTTGTTTGTTCAACGTGATTTTAAAGAATTTTCTAAATATTGGTTATCATATTCTTTTTTTTTTTTTTTTTTTTTGTTCAATGTGGTTCTGAAGAATTTTCTAAATATTTGTTACCATATTCTTTTGTTCAATGTGATCCTAACGAATTTTCTAAATATTTGTTATCATATCCTTTTTGTTCAACGTGATTTTAAAAGAATTTTCTAAATATTGATTTTCAAATTCTTTTGTTCGATGTGATTCTAATAAATTTTCTAAACATTTGTTGCATTATTTTTGTTCAATGTGATTTAAAGAATTCTCTAAATATTTTTTATCATATTCTTTTCGTTCAACTTGATTATAATGGATTTATTAAATATTTACCTTTTCAGTTGTGAATGATTTTTAGCTGAGAGTACACGGAATTAGAGAATGTTAACATCTTACTGAAATCTAGTTACTGACATTTGTTATACAATGGTTAGAAAGAC